TAATTACTTAGTTTATATTTTATACAATTTTTCAAATACTACTAAACTATTACAACTTTTTCGTATATTTACGAAAATATTAAAATTATTACATTTGAAATTTTATACTATTAATTTATTTGATTTATAATTAATATTTTTGCTTCTTTTTGATATTTTTATACATAATCTCTTATTACTTTATGCAAATTTACACAAGTTTTCACAAGTTTATACAAGTTTTCGTATGATTTGATTTTCATTGTTCGTAAATATTCATAGTTTTACGCATGTTTTCGCTAGTTTTTGATTATTTATATTTCGCTATATTTGAATTTATTATGCCGTAAATGTTCGTAATTATTACACTTACGTAATATTCCGGAGTTACTATAGCGTAGACTTTTGTAATTATTACACCTACGTAATACTCTGAACTAATCGTAAATTTTTGTAAGTTTACGCTTGCGTAAAAACTTGCGAAGGTTTACGCCTATTTATTTTTGCTAATATAAAGATATCAGACAGTATGCTGAAGAATGTACTGACTTTATCTCAACTGTCTTGTTCGCCTATCGGACTACTCAACACCATACTACTTGGTATAAGCCCTTTTTTCTAGTATACGGCCGTAACATGTTACTACCCATCGAAACGGTTATCACTTCATACCCAGTGGAACCAACTACTGAGGATGAATTACAAGACTGTCTTTCCTGGAGAATTGATTCTATATTAGGCACTCTAGAGAGTGCCCAAAACCAAGCCCAAGAAAATATTGTAAATGTACAAAACAAACAAAAGGCTTATCACAATCGAAAATACCAGATTGAGACTTATTATATTGGTGATAAGGTGATGTTGTATGAATCTTCACGTGATACATCTTATAGTGCCAAACTTGAACCAGCTTTTACGGGACCATATTATATACATGAAGTTTGTAGCAATGGTTCTTACAAATTGAGGATGATAAAGACCCTTCTAAACAATAAGCCCTTAAAAAGCGAAAGAGTTCTCAAAAAGCCAATCCATAGAAACTGGCTAAAGAAATACATCCCTGCCACACGATTTTAAAAGTTTTAAAGTGTATAAATACTCTGCCCTTTGACCTTGATTGAAGAAACTCTACCACAAAGTCTTGAAATGAAACAACTAGAGGTTAACGCTAAACCTTCAAATATAAAACAAATGATAAAAGATACGAATGTGGTCGAAGTTCGTATCACGACTACAGGATTCTCTTTTATTGACTCTCAAGAAGAGCCTGCCTGTTTAGGATTTTCCAGAGATATTACAACCAATCCTTTCACTCGAGCCATGGATTCTTATTTGAGTGACTTACAACGAACAGATATCCCTACGCAATTTCTTAAGCCTGTTTCTAATGGAACGTAGGGTGAAAGACTCGAAACTTTAGAAGCCAAAATTCTTTATGAAGGGCATGACCAAATAGCCCTCTTACAATACTATTACTATTTAGAAGAATGGTTAGAAGAAAAGGATAAGGATGTTGAAGCCCAAGGAGAATTCCAGAAAAAATTTAAAGGCGTGCGAAAGAACGAAATCTTAAAGATTGCTGCAAGAGTCCTCGAGTTGTATCATGCCAGGGGATTCTATAACCTCTTAGGAACCAAATTTATTACCGCCCGTATCCTTTACAGAATGAACCAGGAGGATTTTCAATCCCTTGTGGATGAAGCTCTAAGGATTAGAGCCAAAGAACTTTCTGAGCTCTTGGGAACCTTCGCAGGAGCTCAGGGTTAAGGAGGGGAATCTGTTACGGGTTTCCGTGACTAGAGATTTGGGGCTTAAAAAGTTTCACATTTTCTTTATTTATTATTTATTTTTAGTTTGTTATCTGTTTGTTTATTTAGTTATATGATAGATAGAGGGGGCTGATAGATTGCGAGCAAAATGCGCGCAAAGATAAAGCCTTGATCGGAGGCTTTTAGATAGTGAGCAATTTACTCGCAAAGGATAAAAATTATGGAAGATATTAAAAAGCACAGTAGTTTATAATGAAACAAAATGTATTTAAAGGCTATCAATTTTCGTTAATAAAGTTTTTCTCAGACTTTGTTGTCTTTAGAAAGTAATAATAATTGACTTCTCATTGTTATTAAGAAACTGATTATTGAACGTTGAACCTTTTAGGCCATACAAATTTAATTACTTGGTTTTCATAACATGAAACTTTTAAATAGACCCAGCCGGCCGGCTTTTTTTTTT